ATCTTGCTCGTACTTGGTATATTGTTTCATAATCCAAGATGTAAAATGCAATACTATTTTTACTATCCACAATTTACAGTTTGACTAATATTTTTACAATTATTATGATTTTTTTTAAATGTTACTTCGACTGAAGGCTTATGGCATCCAAATTCAAATATAAAGGTTCGACGTCTGAGCCCAACAAGTCTCGTCATCCACACTCCAAAACACGAATGAAACCAAATCAAGTATGTTATTATTTAAATTTTGTTTTTTATATTTGATATGATGAATGTGGCCTTTTTTTTCTTTTGTTGATTGATAAAATTGAAATTTGTAAATATAATATTGAATAACTTTTTTTTCTTTTTCGTGCTAAATTGATTAAACTTTACCTTGATTTATAAGAGTTTAGCTTTGAAGAGATTACAAATATGTTGAACTTGAATGAGAAGGAGCATGGTGCGGGACGATTTGCAAAGGTTTACAAAGAGGCACTAAATTTCAAAGTGGTTGCTGTGAAAAAATATCCAAGTGAACATAAAAACCAAGCAAATGTTTTAATTAGTGCTTTTATAGGTTAAACAATTTTTCTTTATATTAACCAACTATTAATCATGTTTTTTTTCCCTTTGTGAAGAATGAGATATAAGCATTCTCAGATTTTGCAAAGAGTTAATTGCAATGAAGATTTTTTCAAATCTTTACTGCACAATATATTAAATGTTTTCGACAGGCCAATTTGTCTTTCTCCACTTATATTGCTAGCTCTATTTTGTTTCATATAGCAGCAAGAACCTGTTTACTAGCTTCGGTGTGGGTGTGGGTGAACCTTCAAACTGCATCTACAAAACTGTAAGAATTAATAGTTAAGGGTTCACAAAATTTAGATTTTTGCATTTGTTATACATCGAAAATGACCGTAGTGCCAAATGGGATGTAAAATGTAAACAATAGGGTAAAAATATTTAGTTTTACTCTATAAACTAGTATTTTACCCGTACGTTGCACGGAAGTGAGTTTCAAAATGAGAAAAATAAACTTATGTAAACGACTATCACTTTATAACAATACCAATTCAAGTAAAACAAAACGGAAGGAAATAAAAAACATAAACTTTGTCTCTTAATTTAGAGTTGTAACATATGAAATTAAGTTAAAGATTATAAATAAGAAAACATGAAGCACGCAAAACACGATATCAAGATTAAATGAAATCATTTAAAACATATGGTATAACTCTATTTCTTGGATTGCAATCTACTACACCATGTGAATCTTCTGCAAAATAACTAAGATAACAACAAACACGGTAGCAAAGAAATAACACAAAATATATTCAAATAACCAGTAAGTTTATCACTAATGGCGTTCAATTAGCGATGAATATTACTCCAACAACAATAAAACTTATAAATGTTGCAAAAGAGATATGATGTACACGCCATTACTAGTACTGATACCAATGTTGATACCAATATTGATACCAATACTAATACCAATATTGTTACCAATAGTGATACTAATTCGATTAATACTAATAATACTAATACTAATACTAATACTAATACTAATACTCATACTAATACTAACACTCATACTAATACTAGAATAAAACTAATACTAATATTAATATTCATATTGATACTAATACTAATACTAAGAATAAGACTATTATTGATACTAATACTAATAATAATATTGATACTTACATTGATAATTATAGTGGTATTGATACTAATACTAATATTAATACTAATACTAATGTTAATACTAATAGTGATATTAATACTAAAATTGGTACTAATACAGTAATACTAATACTAATACTAATACTAATACTAATATCGATACTAATACTGATACTAATACAAATATTAATACTAATACTGATATTAATAGTAATACTAATATTCATACTCGTACCAATACTAATACTAATACTAATAATAAAAATAATACTAATACTTAGATTCATATTGATACTAATATTAATAATAATATTGATACTTACATTGATAATATTGATACTAATACTAATATTATTACTAATACTAATACTAATACTAATACTAATACTAATACTAATACTAATACTAATACTAATACTAATACTAATACTTAATACTAATACTGATACTAATACTAATACTAATATACTAATACTAATACTGATACTCATATTAATTAATATTGATATTCATACTCATACGGATACTCACAATCATACTGATACTAATGCTAATACTGATACTAATATTGACATTGATACTGATACTAATACTGAGACTGATAGTTATACTAATATCGATATTGATATTGATACTGATACTGATA